TCCAAATCACCATCCCCTTTTGTTTAACGCAGTACCCGGAATTCATTTGGCAACCGCCAGTCCCCATCAAGTCAGTATACCCTCTTCATCAGCCGTTTCAATTTCACCTTCTTCCAGCTGATAGTTCTCGTCCCCAGCCAACCATACAAGTATTTCACTTCGTTCATCGGTCCCCATTTAAGATCTGAGATACGATGGAGTTGTACGCCTTGACAGTTCTTATCTCTCACTAGTTTTTTACAAACCTTTGGGTCCATGGCTGTAATCTCAGTGGTTCCCGCTGAAATGTCCAGAATAATTTTAAGGAATGATTTTGTACAGACTGTACGAGTGATATTTGAACAGTAGTATGCCGAGAGCCGTGTGTATTTTCTCGTATATAACGTTGCCGTCGTTTTCACCACTTTTTCGTCAGGTGATAAAGTACAGTTGAGTTGATCCGATAGGGAAACCAAAAACCTGGATCGTCTTGGCACACACAATTGAAATTTTCGAACAGCATTTACAGACATAATCATGAAACAGCAAACTGCTGCACAGAACATGTAAAAATTTGGACTCCCCTTGTTCGGTTCTCTCGTGCAGTGGGTATTAGCAATTTCATTCGTAACCACTGTTACACCATGGTTCTTATCTGCCTTTCCAGAAAAATTGTCGGAATGCACTTCAGGCTCTTTCCTGTCTAAATTAGGATCACCCAACTTAAACTGATGTTTGACGGTGTCGTTCGTCGATTTTCCATCCGTCTGAGACGGTATTTCTAGGGGTGCAAGGTAACATATAAGTCGTGTCCAAAGATGTCTGTTCGGTAACTGAACGGTCGCTTTTCTTATTACCTTATCACAACCTCTTTTCATCCCAACAATTTTCCCCAGTTTCCACAATCCTCTGGGGACATCTTCGCATACTATCACAATTTCATTCATAAGTGGAAAACGACGGGTGAGATTTCGTCCTTGCTTGTGCTCTTTCTGCGTTCGCTCTCGCAAATTCAGGAGATACATTTCATTTCAGTTTCCAGAAATAGTTGAAGCATCGGCTTGTATTCTCCCAGTGCTTAATCAAATTCTGGCTAGGAGAGATTACAGGCATGTACTCTTGGTCTTCTCGATCATTTGCTGAAAATATTGCAGAACCGACCTTTGCCCTAGGAATAATGAAGTCAGTAGGATGTAGTATCTCTTCTATATTGCCAGAGATCGCAGTTAGAGGTCATGAATTTAAGACTCCTTCGACTC